AGACTTCAAAGGATGTGTTGGGCTCAATGAAGCTCGTTCGATCAACCAAAATATGTCAAGACGGGGTGAATTGGTTCTTTGAAGTTTAGGGAGTAAGGAGTATAAAGGTAGAAAAAAATGCACAATGATTTATAGTGGTTCAACTCCCTTAATGAAGTCTACGTCCACTACATAAGCTCCTCACTTAGGATTTTCTAACAAATCCTCTAATTTGTTCTTTCTTTTTCAAGGATAAAGAGATAACCTTTACAAACTCCATAGCTTTTCAAAGGCTTAGCTAGAACCAAAACTCCTTTACAAAGGAAAAGCATTGTAAACAAGAAAACCTCTAAAAAGGAATGTGTTTACAAATTAAAGCTCACAAAAACACAAATATTTACAAGAGAAAGAGAAGAGAAAGAGAAGAGAAAGAGAAGAGAAAGAGAAATAAAGAATGAAAAGCTTTTTATTTACAAAAGAAACAGAAATAAAGAATGAAAAACTTTTCTCGTGTTTGATTGTTTGGATAGGTGTTGGTTACATTCTTCAAGTGTCTTGAACTTGTTTTTATATGTTGGAATGAGTTACTAGCCGTTTCTAACCTTTTGGGAAGGTTTAGAGCCACTGGAAGACTTTCTGCATACAAAGTTTCGAAACTCTGGGGAAAGTTTTGAAGCTCATAGAAAAAGTCGTTTGAAAAATATGACCGTTGGACTCAAAGTATCGAAACTTTAATAAAAGTTTCGGAACTCTTGAGATAGTTTCGAAACTATTGAAAAATATCAAAACTTTTCGGGAAACTATCTTGGAAAGATTTGAAACTCTTGTAGAAGTTTTGAAACTTTTGGTCAAAATACTCATTTTAAGGTTTTGATTGGACTTTGAATTATTTTGATGAAAACTTTGAATAAATTCAATTTAGTCCAAAAACATTTTGCCCTTATTTGTTATATCAAAATATTAGTTCTAGTGGATGATTGATCTCCGAATTTAGAGTTTGCCTGGATAATCCTTAGTCTTTAATGGTTACTAATGTTTCTAATAAAACTATTGTAGTGAATTATTTTTTGCCAATGACAGAATGCACAATGTTTTTGGTGGCTGGCATTGTAAAGGAGGAGGAAGGCTGTGAAAGCATGTTACGCCTGGAAGATGGCTCCTTGAGAGCAATTTTTTCAGGCCTTTGGAGGGTTTAAGGATAAATTTTGAAGTTCTTGTAGTTATAAGAACTACCCTCGAGATATCTATTGAAGCAAATTGGTCTAAGTCGCACTCGATTATTGTGGAGACAAGCTCTAGAGTGGTCATAAACTGGTTGTACGAAGTGAACATCGCCCTTGACATTGGTGGCCTCTTTTGACGGACATAGACATGCAAGTGTATGTTATTAGGCATGTTTGGAAATATAGACTGCCAAATACACATGTTAGCACTGATAGTACAAATAAAATATTATTTAAATAATCAAACAACCGAAAACATGTCGTGATGAAAATCATTACCTTATAAACAAATTCACCCCGATGTATATAATCGCTACTACAAGTGGATTGTCCCTCAAGGTTAACACGGTCTCTTCGAAATTTTGTACACCCGAAACCTGAGTGAACTATGGTGTTATTGCTTCTCTGATCACTGGAAGTAGATAAAAGCTTAGAAAACTTTGAGAGAAGTGAGTAGTGTTTGAGTGAATTGGTGAGTTGAGAAGCTTGCAAAGCCTCTTTATTTATAGGCTTCATATCAGGGGTAAATGGTCCAACAAAATTCATATTAAAGTCTGATTTTATTTAATGAAATTAACTATGTGTAACAGATGTCTTTATTTACATGAAATTGCTTAATTAAACAGTTGAATCTGGCCCTCGTAGCATCTAGATACATTGTATAATTCTCAGACATTTGTAACTCCTACAGTTACTTATGTAACTCTCGTAACTGACATAATTTACAACCCAATTCTTATCTTGAACAGAGACATAAATATGACCAGGTACATTCTAACGTTTATAGATTAATTTCAAAAAATTGATTGTTTAAATTTTAAATTTTAGAAATCAATACAGCTAATTAATCAGCTGTTACTCACGAGCCATGAGCCACAAGCACGAGCATGAGTCAAGACGGAGGGACATCAATGGTGGCAGCGCGTAAGATTGCCCCTTGTTCTTTATCACTCAACAAGGAAGGGATAAATGCACACTATAAATACCCATACCGATGGTATTTCCCACTAAATATGGGATAGTGTCTTTTTGCATTACCAACATTCTCCACTAATGCGAAAGAATTCTTCTAAAACTTGAAATACAATCTTCTCAGAAGAGCAATAGTGGAGCTAGTTGCTTAAGCACTAGTGAACATATCTTGAACTCGTGTATAGTGATGATGAGCGATCCTCCTCTTAGATAAGTGAAACTAGTATTGAACTTTCTAAGATAGGGGTAAACTCATAACAAACAACTAAACCCCTTTATCCACTGAAGTCCTCTATGTGTAAGATATATATACACAGTGTATACTTGACCATCTTATCTCAGGATTTTAGTAAGTGTACTAGAAAAACAACCCAACGTTTTTCATAGAAGGTGGTTAACTCTTCTCACTAAAGTAGGTTATTTCATCAGGTTTATCTCATCATAAACCACCCTTAAACTGGGCTATAAAATAATTAAGAGCCTATACAATAGCTCAACCTTACAATAGGTTATGATGATTTTCTTCAAGTTCGTTATAAAATGAACCACCCAAATTCTGGGATAAGAAATCATTAAGAATAAATATTCAATCTCATTAATCGGTGAATTAAATATGTCATCCTCACTAGGACCATCCAAACCTTTGGATTTGAATTCATTAAAAGTTTTCATAAAACTCAACATTTCTAGTGGTGAGTTCATTATGTCCTTCTCCATTAGGACTACCCACTCAACTCTGGGTTATGAACTTATTAAGAATAGAAATTCAGTCAAATTCAGTAAATAATCAAGTCTTTTTCACTAAGACCACCCAAAACCTGGGTTATGAATTTATTAAGAGCAATTAAGCTCAACCTGGGCATGTATATTGTTCGTCATAGGGATTGGTAGGTAAATGTATACTATGATATTTCCATGGTTTTTCTTGACCATATTGAGCTTAGATAACTAAGTTGGGTATCCACCATGAATTCCTTAACCAATGGGCTTTAAATCCACCCCCTTCGACGAATCTAGGACCAATTTTCAACTTAACCCTTTCGTAAGCGGATCTGCTAAGTTATTTTCTGAATTCACATACTCTAAAGAGAGTACTTCATTCCTTATCAAGTGTCTAATCGATTCATGCCTTATACGAATGTGCCTCTTCTTACCATTGTAAGCTTAGTTCTTAGCCACACCAATCGCAGCTTGTGAATCACACAGTAAGAAAACAGGAGGAGTCAGTCTTCTCCACAACAAAATTTTAACTAATAAATTTCTGAGCCACCCGACTTCTTTCCCAGGTAAGTCACGAGTTATAAAATCTGACTCTATAGTGGAGCGAGCAATACAAGTTTACTTCGAATATTTCTACAAAATCACTGCTCCACCTAAAGTAAAGGCGTACCCACTCATCGAGGTTATCTCATCATTATCAAAAACCCAGTTAGCATCACAATATCCTTTTAACAACATGATAACCAACAAACTCAAGTCTCCAGTCTATCGTACCCTTAAGAAACTTAAGTAAGCGACGAAGAGCAACTGAATGTTCACCACTTGGGTTGTGAGTATATCTACTAAGTCTACTCACAACATAAGTAATATTAGGCCGAGTATAGTTCATTAAGAACATAAGGCTCCCAATTATCTTAGCATATTCTATTTGGGAAATGCTATTTCCTTTATTTTTAAAAATAAGTACGCAATGGTCATAAGGAGTCCGAACATGGATGACATCAAAACTGTTAAATTTCTTTAACACTTTCTTAATATAATGTTCTTGATTTAGAGAAAACCCCTTTTGTGTTTTGGTAACTTTGACTCCAAAGATTACGTCGACTTCTCCCAAATCGTTCATCTCAAATTTAGTAGAAAATAAATCTTTTATTTTGTTAATGGTCTCAATGTTAGTACTGAAAATCAACATGCCATCAACATATAAACTTATGATGATGCAGTTAGCACCAAACATCCTTGAATAAATGCATGCATCTGGACCATTCACAACAAAACCAAAACTAAGGATAATTTTATGAAATTTCTCTTACTACTGTTTAGGGGATTGCTTGAGGGGGTAAAATGACTTTTTAAGTCTACACACTTTTTCTTCCATATCGGGCGCCTTAAAACCAAGGGGTTGCTCCATATATATCTCATCATCTAGATCTCCATTCAGAAATGCAGTCTTTACATCCATTTGATGTACTTGTAACTTGTGAATGGAGGCTAGTACAAATAATGCATAGATCGTGGAGATTTATGTTACGGGATAGTAGGTATTGAAGAAGTCTATATCGAATTTTTTAGTGAACCCTTTGACAACTAGCCTTGCCTTGTAGCTCTGGATAGAACCATCTGGTCTGATTTTCCTCTGGAATACCCACTTGTTGTTGATAGTTCTAAACCCTCTAGGTAAGTCAACTAATTCCCAAGTATGATTAGACTTTATTGATTCTAGTTCATCATTAATAGCATTTTTCCAGAAACTAGCATCAATCAATCGTATAGCTTCTTTATATGTCATGGATCCTCATCTAACAGAAAAATTTGAGCTATAGGATCGAAAAGAGTATCTAAATCATTTATCTCATAAATAGAGGAAGTTATAAAGTCTGGTCCAAATGATGTTTCAGTTCTTTTTCTTTTACTTCTTCTAGGTTCATTCAATTTCTTGAGAAGATCAAGCATGTACACTAAAATAAGTTGATGATAATTTTTCAATTTGTGTTTCCTAATTTAATATAGATATCTTTAACGGGGAAAAATCTTCAAAGAAAATGACATCCCTAGATTCAAAAATGTAAACACATGAACATGTATGCGACACTATTTGTAGCATACCTTATAAACACTGCATCAATGGTTTTAGGTCCGATTGTGAACTTCTTCAAGTCAGGTAAACCCACTTTAGCCAAACACCCCCCACATTAAGGTATTGTAGATTTGGAGGATATCATTTCCACAATTCATATGAGGTAGAATCTAATTTCTTGTGAGATACTCGATTTAAAATATGATTTACCGATAGAATGACTCCCCCCACATGTTGTCAGGCAACCCAGAACTTATCAACAATGAGTCCATAATCTCTTTTAAAGTTTTATTTTTCCTCTCGTCTATACCGTTCTGTTGAGGAAAATAGGGAGCAAAAGTTTTGTGAATTATTTCATTCATCTCACACACTTCTTTTAAGAAATTTGAAAAGTATTCACCATCCCTATCGAATCTAACTCGTTTAATTATTCTATCTAACTGAATCTCAACTTCTACCTTATAAATAAGAAATAAGTTCTCAGCTTTGTCTTTAGTTCTAAGGAGATATAATTTTGTGTATTTGGAGTAATCATTCATAAAAGTGATGTAATAATATTTTCCTCATCTACTTTCAGTGTTTCTAAAGTCTACTAGATCGATATGAATAAGTTCTAACAGTTAAGTCTTTCTCTTAGAAACAGTCTTAAAGTGAAGTTTAGCGTGCTTGGATTATACACAAATTTCACATTTGTTAAAGTTAGTTATGTCTAGTTTTTAGGCAGAATATTCATTTTTATCAGTTTCTTTAAAGATTGGATATTCACATGTCCCAATCTAGCATGCCATATATCAACAAATTCAACACTGTAAGTAGAAGTAGTGGCTTTATTTTCATTAACTTGAGATTCTATGACAAATAAACCATAATTTTAAAAAACCTTTCAAAACATAACCACCATTTCAGGAAAATACAAGTTTATTTGCCTCAAAAAATAACTTAATGCATGCCTTATTCAAAAGTCTGTCACTTATTACATTTCTACACAATGCAAGTATATATAGGACATTATTCAGGGCTAAAGTTTTACCAGAAATCAGCTTGAGTAAAACCTTACCTTTGCCCATAACTTCAGAGCTATTGGAGTTTCCCATATACACACATTCACCTTCGTCCCTATCCTCAAACTCGATGAAAAACTCCTTCGTTGCATAGAAATATCTAGAAGCGCCAGTGTCAACGACCCACTCAACATTGTTCTCCATCAGATTCACCTCTGAAACCACCACTGCGCTGACATCAATATTATTCTCTGTAACGTGCATATATGGTTTGTTCTCACTCTGGCGGTCGAAATTGTGTTAGCACTGGTAAGCTTTGTGGCTGACTTGATTGCACACATAACACATGATGGACTTGCTTTCAGCTTTGGCTTCCCTAGCTTATTGAAGTTGGCACCCTTTTGCGACTTGGTCTTGTTTTATATATTCCCCTTTTTGGAGGTCATTTTATACTTAGACCTTGAGGTAGCACCAGATTCAACCAAGTTAGCTTTAAAGGATAAATCACTAACAGAGTTTATCCTTTAACCGATTAGTCTCCTCTATTTTCATGTGGCATATCACCTCTTCAAGTGAAATGTCAATCGTTTTATGTTTGAGGGAGTTACAGTGATAAGACCAGGATTTAGGCAGCTTCACGATCAGTACATTGGGTTACAACACCTCACACATATGCATTCCTTCAATAAGGATGTCAGAGACCATATTTTCATAATCATGGACTTGGTCTATAATCGGCTTATTATCAGTCATCTGAAACCTCAGCCACTCACCAATGACGTATTTCTTGATGTTCGCATTGTTAATACCATACTTTTTCTAGAGCATGTCCCATATGAACTTGGCGTTTTTTCTTTGAAGAACATGTTGAAGAGCTTATTCGACATGTGGCTTAGGAGATGGCCTCACATCGTCTTATTATCTTCCTCATACTTCTTGGCAGCAATGATGATAGCAGCATCATTGACAAAAATGATAATAGCATCAGACAGGGTGTCATCACCAATACCAGTAGTCGCAGCTAGAGTATTCCTAGATTAGATGGTCGCGGTTTTAATAGCACATAATTGAGGTCAAACTGCTCGAAGAAAATGAGAATCCCCTGAGACCACATTCGATAATTAAAGCCGTCTAGTGCATCAAGTTTGGAAAAATCATGGATTATCTTGCTCAGTGGAGTCGACATTTTGTAGTAATTAAATTTGTTTCTAAATATTTGGAAATGTAGACTGCAAAATGAACACATTGGCACTGACAAGATAAATAAAATATTATTTAAATAATCAAACAATCAAAATTGTGTCGTAATGAAAACCACTACCTTGGAAACAAATTCTCCCCAATGTGTGCAATCACTTCTACAAGCCGATTGTCCCTTGAGGTTAACACGGTAGCTCTGAAATTTCGTACACCTGAAACTTGAGTGAACTACGATGGTATTGCTCATTTGATCACTGGAAGTAGATAAAAGCTTAGAAAGCTTTGAGAGAAGTGAGAAGTGTTTGAGTGAATTGGTGAGTTGAGAAGCCTGCAAAGCCTGTAACACTCTAATCTAGTTCGACCCGAAGATCCATGGATTACAATGTTACACGGGACTACCGAAATAGTAACCCCAAAAATTTTCTTTTAAAACTACATGCAAATATCTTTAATTTAATCATCCATTATATAAAATAAAACATAATAAAATTTAGGTTTACAAATAATGGGGAGCTCCCACAATACAACCGTAAAATAATACAAAATACAGAGTTTCAAAAGAGTTACGACTGAATACATAACAAGGTCCATAACAATACATGCCCTTTAAAGATGACTCAAGACGTACTCTGAAAGGTCTTTGGAAATTTGAATATACTACACTGGAATATCTGAAGACCATAGCTCCCCACGATTTGTTTCCTAAGAACCTGCGCACAGAAACACTTTCGGAACATTGAGCTTACAAGCTCAGTGCCTCACTAAAAACTGTACTGTACTATATGCATTCACTAATGAAATGGCAAGTAGCAAATGTATGAGTGTACAACTATTGGACTACTAATCTGTAGCTGACATCATGGTGCGGGTGAGGGATTATGTATCTCGGAGCTCAAGCACCCCTCTAGCATTGCCGAAGCATCATCGTGTACTAATGGGTGAGATCCAAAATTCTACTTCGGAACATACACCCACCAACTTATTCCGTCGAATCTTGGGGTATCTGGCACCCAGTCGGCTGTTGAAGTACCGTGGAACTGACTTGGATACACTGAATGTCATATTTTTGCTAAAAGGAACTTGAGTATCCTGATTGTTTCCCGAGCATCAAACAAGGCTAGTTTCATGTAAACTTAGCTATATTATGTTTCTACTATTATGATATTAATTATTGTTCTTAATTGAATTCTTATTTGAGGATATATTGAAGTGTTGGGGTACCTCGAGTCTAATTCCCTTAAAAACTGGCCTTTTGTCAAAAACAGACTGAAAGTATCGATACTAGACCAAGAGTATCGATACTCTTACAAAAGTTTTGATAATTTCTACAAGTATCGATACTTTTAAACATTTTGGACCGCCTAATTTCGATACTTTTTGGGAGTTTCAAAACTATGACCCAAAGTACTGATACTCTTGAAACAGTATCAATATTCTTTCCCATAAACTAACGCTTTTGGCCAAGAAAAAGTACAAGTTTCGATACTATCTCTCTAGTATAGAAACTCAACCTACAGAGAGCATGAAATAGGTGGAAAAACCATATTCTACTATCCTAAAGACCTTATTGAGGTCCCAAAATATTATTAAAGTTTTATGAATATACAAAGAAGCATAAACAAGGCTTTAAACATATTTATAACTCTAAAACATGAAATCTACCATGGGAATGCGTCAAGCTTATGCAACCTACTACATTTCATATAAATGAATTGCATATGGTATAGTTGAGTCAAAAGTGAGTTATCTTAGATGCTAAACTGCTGAAAACACCTTATGCTCAACCAAGAGTAAATTTTTCCTTCCCTTTTTCTTTGGAGTTTTCTTCAACTTCCCTCACTACAAGAGAATCAAATGCATTTATTACTAACTAATTTTAAGGGTTAAGGAGGGTTTAAAAACACTTCATAAGACTAGAAATATCTGAAAAATGGGTTGGAACCATCTAGTTTCTTAAACCATTCTAAAACTTATTCTTGAAAACTATGGTAAATGAGTGGTTTGAGAGCTTGAACCAAAGCTTGATATGTAATGGTTATGATTCTTACCTTTAGAATACTTTTTAGGGACTGGAAAATGATAAAATTCATACATTTACCTTGCAAGAGAGGAGAAAAATGACAAGAACAAGATATAAAGAAGACAAGGAATGAAGAAAATGATGAAGTTTTCTCAGACGGTGATATCACCCAATTTTAATGATATTCATATTTATTTTGAACAAGGGAAAAATTACTTCCTTGATCCCTCTGACTCTGATTACAGATTAAAAACACTATTTTTATTCACTATTGGGCTAAATCCAAACCCATTTTCACTTGTTTTTGGCTCAAAGTTTCCTACAAGCTATAGATTTAATCCAAAGCCTATCTCAGGTTAGTCCAAAACTCCTAACCCGGGATCAGGGGCATTACAACTCTCCCCTCCTAGAAATAAATTTCGTCCTCAAAATTTACCTGAGTAGAAGAAGTGGGGGTACTGAAACTGCATGTCCTCCTCAGTTTCCCATGTTGCTTCCTCGATGTCATAGTTCTTCCATAACACTTTCACCAAAGTAATCATCTTGTTCCTTAACTTCTTCACTTCGCTCGCTAAGATTCTGACTGGTTCATCTGAATAGGTTATATCTAAGCTGACCATAATCTTTTCTAAAGGTATAACGTACGAAGGATCAAAGCGTTATCTTCTAAGCATAGATATATAGAACACATTGTGAATGCGCTCTAACTCTAGTGGTAAAGCTAGTCTGTAATACACTGGTCCAGTTCTATCAAGCACATCGTATGGTCCTATGAAACGAGGAGTCAACTTGAGGAATACATTATCCCCAACTGTGAACTCGATATCCTTATGCTTCAAATCTAGATAAGACCTCTATCTATCTAAAGCTTCATTGAGTCAGTTCTGAATAAATCAAACCTTCTCCTTGGTCTCTCTAATTAAGTTTGGGCCTACAATCTTACCTTCACTGAGCTTAGTCTAACAAAGCAGAGTCCTACATTTATGCCCATATAGGGCCTTGTATAGAGCCATCTGAATTCTCGACTGGAAACGTTTGTTGTAGGTAAACTCCATGAATGGCAAGTGGTCCTCATAACTACCCTCTAGATAGATTGAAGATAGTACACCTGAGCATATCCTCAAGAATCTGGATAACTTGCTCTGACTGACCATCCATCTGAGGGTGAAAAGTTGTACTGAAGTCTAGTCGGGTACCTATGGACTCATGAAGAGCTTTCCAAAAGCGAGAACTAAATCGAGGGTCTCTATTTGAAATGATGGAAGTTGGTACACCATGCAACCTCACTATCTCACGGATATACAATTGAGCTAACCTCTCTAAGGTATATTCCATCATAATTGAGAGGAAGTAAGCTAATTTGGTGAGCGATTTACTATGACCTCAACTGTTTCATGTCTCTGTCTGGTCATTGATAACCTTTTCACAAAGTCAATGGTAACTCTGTCCTATTTCCATTGAGGAATCTAAACGGGCTGAAGAAAACTTGAGGGAACCTGGTGTTTCGTCTTAACCTGATGACACACTAGACATTTCGCTACGAACTCAAACACTTCTTTTTCATGCTCGACCAATAGAACAATATACGAAGCTCCTGGTACATCTTGTTACTTACTGGGTGAACGGAGAGTGGACTGGAGTGTGCTTCATGGAGAATCTTACTATGCAACTGAGCGTCTGTGGTTACACACAATCGACCCCTAAAGTATAACACTTCTTCATCGCGAAGATCAAAACCTGGGACCTCACCTTGATGAACTTGCTCGATGTGAGATTTCAATCGATCATCTAAATTTTGTCACCTCTTGACTTTCCCTACTAAATCTGGTTTAACTCGCAGCTCGGCTAATAATCCACTATCACTAGATAAACTCAAATGTGCTAGGAGGGCTCGTAACTCAATCATTGATTTTCTGCTCAAGGCGTCTGCTACCACATTTGCCTTTCTTAGACCATCCACGTTGTCTGAGGTTCAACTTTTTCTGAGTGAGAAGATACTTAAGGTTCTTATGATCAGTAAAGATATGTAACTACTCACCAAAAT